GGATCCACTCCCGCCAGGCACCCCCCTTTTGGCCGCAGTCGTTCCAAGGCTCATGAAATTGACAATCAAATTGCAAATAGCTTTATCTTGTAGTTTGCTTATTTATTTATATCATTTCGTACACTTCCTGCGCACGCCAGGCAACAATGGGAGGAATGGACGGACGGATGGGAGGTCCTGGGGGCCGACAGTCATAGTTGTTAAGCTTCTGCCATGCCCCCATACCCCCACTGCCATGTGGATCGATGTGTGTGTGTGTCTGCCTTTTTTGGCCTATTATCCTTGGCTTATGTTTTCAATTAAATTTCCATACAATTTTCATGACGTGATGAACTACCTAGGGCCAGCGTCAGGATTCAGGACTCGACTTTTCTCTCTCAGCTGTGACTGACTGGCCGATTGTGGCTCTGTGTGTCAGTCAATTTATTTAATAACAAACGCACAGAGCACTCTCACACAGATACGTGGATATACTATATAGGTATATGTGTGTATTCCAGCCGTCACATACAGGATATAACACTGGGCTCCTCCCCTGAAGCCAATCTTATTTCATAGTAAAAATTTGTGAGGGGATTTGTGAATAAATCAAGTCAAATATTTTATATCATTTCCTTTATGGTAGATACAAAAATATACAAAAAATAGAGAAAAATTGTAAAAGAGAGCAGTCAGTATATTGGATCAGAAAATAATCAACGAAAGTGTTTGGTGACAGTTTCTGGTGGGTAAAAAAGTAATGTCACAAAAAAGTCTATTTTTTAAAAAGATTACAAACCATACTACCATTAATTTCTCTAACAAAAACTCTGTTTGTGCTCATTTTGCAATTTAAATAAACCCACCTAGGGATATGATCTAATAACATTACTTAGGTTGTCCATTAAAAGTAGCAAGCACCGATTATTAAAGTCGGGGAAAATGTGCTGGGCCTTTGCTGATTATGACAACGGCCAGGGCACATTAATGCTGATGAGATGTTGCCGCTAAGTAGCATTCCCAGAGCCCACTTCATCCCCATTTCGACGCCCCTAAAAGTGCCCCATCGCTGGGAGCAAACAAATAACATCGTTCGAGGAAGATGTGAAAAATTAGGGACCACACACACACAAAAGCTAAAGCAAAAAAGATTCTTGGCTAGAGCACCTCCGAATCCCCTTCCCATCTCATTGCAGCTGTCTCACTGTTGACTTTGCAATTAAATATGCACATTCTCATTAAAAGTTTGCGCCATTAATAAACGCCAACAGGGATGTAATTTAATACGGTTAAAAGGCACAACACGTGTAGGGTAAGAGGATGTTATTTTGGTGTGTGGAGGTGATGGTGTGGAGTGGGTGGCCCATACATACATGGCATTAAATTAAACATGCAGAAATGTGAGAGGTGGCTCCACATTCACCTACCTTGCCAACCCTCCTCGCCTTAGTCTCTCCTCCACCGAGTGAAAACAAAGCTTATAAAAATTTCAAAAGTAAATACTTTTCTTAACGAAATTTCCACGTTTCTGGTGTCTGGCTCCATCAGTTTCGCCCGGTCTTGGACCACATTAAAGCTCGTCAAGTCCTGGCTGCAAATTTGTCAACTGACAGAACAAGACACGACACATATGGCTAGTGTAAACCAGCTCCCCTTGTCTGCCATAAATAATATATAATTGAAAATGTCTCTTGGGAATTTTTGCTTCGTTTTGGCTTCGTGTGAACTCTGCCAACCCAACAACTTGTCCCTAATATCAAAACAGGCCAAAATCATGTGAATGAATGTACTCTACACATGCAGCGGTGACATCAGTGGCATTGCGAAAAATTCTTCTAAGTATCTAATTCATGACAAGATCACCGGCATCGGGACATCACTTCTCGGGAATCTCACACATTCGCAAATGATTGTAGATACGAATATATTGTATATTCGTTATGAAAATTGGTTCTTATCTGATTGGTATTGTTGGTCGCTGTAATTTTTGATATTCCGATTCCGATAAGATAGAACGTAAACAATTAGCTAATATGGAAATCAAGTTCTTGGCCAAAAATGTCGTTACACTAATCGAGTTTCCTATTAAACTGATAGGGTATACACAATTCTCACTCAGGTTGAGTAGTTTTTCCGAGAAATCCATAAGACGACGCACTATGGGGAATTTGACCAGTTTTTGTGACAAAAACCCATTTTCTGAAAGTCGGAAAATTAAAATAAGTTTCAGTGTAACGTATTCCAAATTCACCAATCTTCAGAGGTGCATAACAAAAATTTTTATAGAGGGCGCCAAAACAAAGGAATCAGCTGACAAACACAGCTGTTGCAATTGCAAAGCACAGGCGACTAAAACATTAAGTTTTGTTAACAAAGTTTGAGAGGCTAGAATTAAAAATCTAAACAATATAATAACTTTTTTTAAATGAATATCATTCTGTGTGGCTTGTATTATATGTTTGTGATCGTCATTTGTAGAATAAAATCGTGTTGTCCCCGTAATCGAGCAAAAATGTAAGTAGCCTTGCCACTCCATATTTTGGATGAAGTCTCATGTTCCATAAGGGATTTAAAATGAGTCTAGAAGAGTCCATCGACGAAACCTATTGTATGTTGTAGAGTATTAAATTCTTGTTCGAATAAATGTAACTTTAAATACCACTTTTTCCGATTATGCGAGAATTTTTCATTTTTAGAACATAACCTTAATTTGGCAAACACAAATTTTTTTGCGAAATGTTTCGAAGCAAAGGAAAAAGTTGCAGAGGAGAACGCTGTCTTTCATTTTATTAAAGATTCCATCTCAGGAGTGAATTTTGAAGAGTATAGCGATATCGTAGACCAAGAGAGTAAAAAATTTAGCTACCGCTTGACGCAAATGTGGAAGAGGTGCTCTTCTATCTTAAGTCAGTAGCGCCGGAATCATGCAGTTTGGCTGAATTCAAAAACTATTACATTTTCCGAAAACCAAGAAGCCTGTAGGCCAACACTGCCTTTTCATTCGAAGGGAAATATATCTCGCAGTAGTGCCTCCAGACTTGTAGTCCAGACGTATTTCTGCGAGCTACAGGTCCTTCTGATCCGATAATTTTCGCTAGTGAATTTAGATAGAAGAATATAGCAACAGAAAATGTGTCTTCCATTTGAGGTTTTGGGCCTATTAGAGGGCTAATCAAATCCCGACGACACCACGGCGGGTGAGGATGAAAGCTCTTTTGATAATGTGAATTTTGAACATCAATATAATATTGAGTTGGAGAACGAAGAGCTGGACCTTTGTCTTCTATACATTATTAATTGTCTTTCATTGCAGGGGCACACGATGCTTTAGATGGATTTTATTCTTAAAACTGTAAGACATTGTTAAAGGCGTGCCACGCCCACCATTTTCTATGAAATACAACAAAATACTGTCACAGAACTAGTTGATAAGTACTCTAAAAATCTGCAGAAATTTACATTAGCTAACAAAAAAAAAGAGGTGGTGCCACGCCCTCTATTTTCTTATTGGTAAAAGATATTGGTCAATATAACCCCATGCAAAAAGCAGAAGTCAAATATCTTGCTCCGATCTTGAGTTATTAATTTTTGTCACAAAAATTGGTCAAATTCCCCATAGTGCGACGGCCAAGCACATTAATTGCATACAACTAGGCGCCGAGAAAGTAAAATGTTGACAGCTTGGCTTTGTATCCTCCGTCTTGGCTTGATGTCTCATGGTAGTATTCCATCGGGAAATTAAAGTAAAAGTTTACGCTTTTTAGCCTTAGCCACATACATATAGTATAGCTCCCACGCACTTTAGCCACGCCCACCACCCACATTTGCCCACATTCGCGTACATGTTTGGGTAGAAATTGAGGCTCATTATGTATTTATGTCAATTTCTGACTCGACACTATGGTCCTGTGCCTGTATGCATGTCCTGTGCCTGCGCTTGTGCCTGTGACTGTGTGTATGTTGGCCTGGAAAAGACATGTAAAACCTTTTTGGGGAGACCTGGAGGGGCTTGGGGACGGAACTTCCTTTACCTGGCCAACAAGCATTTAATGACTTTGGCTTTCGTTCTTCTGGGACGCATTTGCCCCAAAAAAAAAAAAAAAAGAATGTTTCACTGTACATTTCTGGGCCTTTACAATTTTTACTCCTTCAGCAATCGTAAAGGTGTTTGTACGGTTCTGTGTGCATATTTCAGTTATTTTTATTTCAGCGTTACTTTTAATGCACTCACGCATACCCACACCCATACCCAAATTCTATATCTTCACATATCTTGCGATTTTATATCTGGTTTGCCTTTATGTGTTCCTCGAAAGTAACAAGTGTTCTTCGCGCTGGAAGTGAATTTGTGTTTCGAATATGGCCAAGGGATTGTTTTAAGAGCCATCCACAAATTTGATGGCCATAAGTGAGAGGTACATGGATGTCATACGGCCTTATATTTATGAACTCTGCTCGTCAAAGCGGCGGAGCACTGTGAGAAAAGGCAGAAATTACTGCCGGAAGGACCTTTCTTTAAAGTTTTATTCAACCTTATTCATTTAACTGGGATTGGGTTGAAAGTTCTAACCAAAGCTTTTTCAAAGACCGAAAGCTAATTGATTTCTCTCGTTTAAACTTCCTTCTTTTTGTTTATTTGGAAAAGGTATAATTGTTCGTGATATTTATCAAGTTTTTCATGAATATGGATACATAAATTCTTCATTACCAAATTTTATTAAAAGTTATCATTAATCCATTAATCCATTAATTATGCTATCAAAACTATTCTTATCTAAATGTTTCAGGGAATAGAAGAAACGGAAGACAATACAACATCTTATTTCCAGTTCCGTCTCTTGTGATCAATTAAAAAATTAAAATCTTTATCAAAAACATACACATGCACAATCGTTAGATAACGATTCCCATCAAATCAGCTTTCCATCCGTTCAATATATCAAAATTAGAGTATTCGCCCAAAATGCATAAGTACCTGCCGCTTTTTTATCAGAAAAAAGTTACCCACCTTATCGGAATGATTTCTATATAAAGGTCGCGGGGAATTGCAAAAGAGTCATTCAAGCACATTGTTCCATAGTAGCAGCTGAAACCATGAGAACAATCTGTAAGAACCACAGGAACCCCAACATCCAAGGACTAATACTAACCACTACTTCTTTACAGTACTTGTGAGCGCCCTTTTCGTGGCAAGTATCAACGCCGCCAGCATTCAGCCAACCGTGCGGGCCATCAACAACCAACTATACAGGCGTTACGTGTGCGTCCATAAGTCCGATGGCTTCCGGGCCCTAGTCCCGGGCAGCTGCTCCCAGTACTACGAGTGCCACTCCGGAGTTGCTCTGGTGAGCACCTGCTCCCGTTTCTTCGACACCAAGGTCCAGGGCTGTGTTAACTACAACACAGGCTGTATCGAGACCCAGGTCCTATCTACCGATAACAACAAGGTAGTAGCCCTTGACGCTGCTGTTCCTTGTGCCGAGGAAACGACCACTGCCTGTGGGGTGACAGAAGCTACTACGACCACGCCATGTGGACCTGAGTCTATACCATCAACCACAACACCTTGCGAGCCGAGCTCTACCCCATCGACCACCACACCCTGCGAACCGATCGTTACCCCATCGACCACGACACCCTGCGAACCGATCGTTACCCCATCGACCACGACACCCTGCGAACCGATCGTTACCCCATCGACCACAACACCCTGCGAACCGATCGTTACCCCATCGACCACAACACCCAGCGAACCGATCGTTACCCCATCGACCACGACACCCTGCGAGCCGATCGTTACCCCATCGACCACAACACCCTGCGAACCGATCGTTACCCCATCGACCACGACACCCTGCGAACCGATCGTTACCCCATCGACCACGACACCCTGCGAACCGATCGTTACCCCATCAACCACGACACCCTGCGAACCGATCGTTACCCCATCAACCACGACACCCTGCGAACCGATCGTTACCCCATCGACCACAACACCTTGTGAACCAATTACCACAACATCCACTGCTGCCGTGACCCCATCAACAACGACACCCTGTGAGACTACTCCTACAACAACACCCTGCGAACCGATCGTTACCCCATCGACCACAACACCTTGTGAACCAATCACCACAACATCCACTGCTGCTGTGACCCCATCAACCACGACACCCTGCGAACCGATCGTTACCCCATCGACCACAACACCTTGTGAACCAATCACCACAACATCCACTGCTGCTGTGACCCCATCAACCACGACACCCTGTGAACCGATCGTTACCCCATCAACCACGACACCCTGCGAACCGATCGTTACCCCATCGACCACAACACCTTGTGAACCAATCACCACAACATCCACTGCTGCTGTGACCCCATCAACCACGACACCCTGTGAACCGATCGTTACCCCATCAACCACGACACCCTGCGAACCGATCGTTACCCCATCGACCACAACACCTTGTGAACCAATTACCACAACATCCACTGCTGCTGTGACCCCATCAACAACGACACCCTGTGAGACTACTCCTACAACAACATCCTGCGAACCGATCGTTACCCCATCGACCACAACACCTTGTGAACCAATTACCACAACATCCACTGCTGCTGTGACCCCATCAACCACGACACCCTGCGAACCGATCGTTACCCCATCGACCACAACACCTTGTGAACCAATTACCACAACATCCACTGCTGCCGTGACCCCATCAACCACGACACCCTGTGAGACAACTCCTACAACAACACCCTGCGAACCGATCGTTACCCCATCAACCACGACACCCTGCAAACCGATCGTTACCCCATCGACCACAACACCTTGTGAACCAATTACCACAACATCCACTGCTGCCGTGACCCCATCAACCACGACACCCTGTGAGACTACTCCTACAACAACACCCTGCGAACCGATCGTTACCCCATCGACCACAACACCCTGCGAATCAATCGCTACCCCATCGACTACCACACCTTGTGAGCCTTCTTCAACCACGTCGACACCTTGTGCCCAAGATGATTCCACCACAACAACACCTTGTGCGCCGATCACGACGACTGCATGTGGGGAAGAAACAACCACTGCCTGCAGCGAAGCGTCTTCTGGAACCAAGGCTAAGCCCGCAACCCTGAAGGTGAAACCCGCCAGACCAGTTCGCCCTGCTAAGCGTCCCACCTTAGAGTCTACTCAGCAGGTGGCTCCTCAGGCTCAGGATCTGAGCATGACCACCTACACGAGGTACGTGTGCCGCAACAAGCCCGACGGTTTCATGCTGGCGTCTCTTAAGAGCTGTTCCGACTACTACATCTGCCGTTATGGAAAGCCTCTTCTGGTTAGCTGCGGCAGCAAGTACTTCAACGCTCTGAAGGGTATCTGCGATCTGCCAGAGAACACCCAATGCGTTCAGCCTTTGGCTTGAAGTCCTAGAGATCGTTAGGGGTTACCCTAACAGATCGATTAATTCAAATTATATAACTGTAATGCCACTGCAAAAGACCCCACCTTGAAAATTGTCTCCAATCGTTTCGACGAGTATATAATCCTATTAAATAGATGCAGAAGCTACTACAAGCTACAAAAAGTTAAACCTACACATATTTTTTATATTCCCAATAGTTTTCACTCTTCAAACTATCCACATTATAGATTCTAAACAACTTAGAAGTGTACCGGGTATAGATTGTCTTGTTTGCTGATTTTGGTTTGTCTTTAAATCTAGAAAGCACATTTAATTTTTGTTATATAGCTTTTATTAGTCGTTACAACGGAGATATATTTCCATGATGAAATTTTATTTTATCCAACTGTTTCACGGACCCACCACCTGCAAAGAAAATCAAATTTATTACTCAATATTGTTCTATGAAAGTGTGCGGTTGCGCCCTCGCTAAAAGTGTAAAGCCTATAATGGCACTAACGCCTTGGATCTACAAATTGATGGCAGGAACCTGGCTCAGACGCACTGCAGGCAGCGGAAACGGTTAAATAAACCATGAACAAAGGCCAAAAAATGTAATAAAGCGAGCAAACGCCGCAGCGTTCTCCAACCTGTGTGAGTCCTTTGTGAATTCGTAGGCTAGGACTTTTTACTCATAGCAACGGCATCCGATGGCGGGGCCTCAAATTGAAATTGCCTTTCATTTTTGTTTTCCTGCTATGACTTTACTCTGCACCCAAAGAATTCAAATTGGAGCTTTGTCTAAAATCGAACCGAGTCGGCAATCTCTTTACTAAAATTCTTTAACTTTTTTTAGCCCCAGCAGAGATTGTAAAATTTTTAATACTAACTCTTGGCGCTTGTAGTCAAAATTGTAATTTATTGCACCCCTGTCTCACCTGGAATTCATTTGACTGCTCCGGGCGTTGTCGGCTTCTTAAAATCTTTCTGAAGTTTAACAGGTGTACAGGCCGTAGGGCCAACATGCAGGACCCGACGGCCCGCAGCCCTTGGGACTGCATCCGTAGCCGCAAGGACCCAGGGACAGGGCGCAGGGGCCACACCAGGGCCCGCAATAGGGTCCGCAGGCACCCGCGCAGCCATAACCGTAAGGTCCACAGCCAAATCCGTAGCACATTCTTATAGTTTTGATGCTGAGGGAGGACCCTTACTTGCAGGAGAATTCTTCGGCTATTATTTTTTTTAATACTCACCTAAACTTCACGGATAAAGAAATGAAAGGGTTCGAAATGTGATTATACTGGATATAATTTTGTTTTGTAAATTTTTATTCAGAAACTTTCAGACTTGTTCGGTCTGACCTGAGAGTTCCAGATAAAAATTTCAACTGAGGGGTTTCATGTGATGGGTTAAACCCTACACCGTTTTCTATATAAATAACATTTCAAGGCCTACTTTGGGATGTTTCATGGACTACTTAGATTACTTACTTAGTTTCAAGGTACGAAACCCAAACCATGAAAATTGGTTCAAAAATACGTTCTCTCGTTTATTACAAGGGTAACACCAGAAATTGGCTTCGGGATCTTAATATTTAAGCAACGTAAAGCCCGCCAAAGCTCCAAATAAAGCAAATTTCAGAAAATTGGTGGTGGGTTCAAATCCATCCTGCAAAAGGTCTTACGACGGCTGAAGGCAACAGCTGTCAGACTTAACCCCCGCCTTCCCTGGGGATAAATTAGTGGTTTTGGTCTCTAATATAGTCATCGGGCCTGAGTGGCCCCGCCATTTGTCACTTGTCACCCTTAGCGCCATCCCCTTGCCGCACTGATTTAATATTTATTTTATTAATACGAATTTAACATAAAAAAATTTCAGAAATATTTTGACACTCGGCATTGGTATGCCACGGACGGGAAAAGCCAGTGGCTTGAGGGGGGTCTGTGTGGCAACAGTCTGCTGGGGGTGGCTTTGTATTATTTTGACACTTGCCAAACAATTGGCATGCAAAATGGAAAACCCAGCTGCCTCAAATAAACAACAACAACAACAGCAGCGAGAAAAGCGGCAAGAAGGAATATCAAGACGTGGCTCTAACTGAAAATTTTATTAAGAATTTTCGTAAATTAAATATTTACACGACAGCTGTGCAGCGGACTTAAGTCGACCGTATTTAATTTCATATTGTGTTGAGGCAATAATGGAATTTAATAGCTTACTGAAGAAACTCTTTAATGTGGACTTTGAAGCTGATCAGCGGCATAACTTTCGCCTAACGAGACTAATTAGGGATATAATGGAAAGCCCAAAAATAATATTGGAGGGTTGAAAAAAAGAGCTTAAGAGCATAACTTAAACTTAAAAACCTGCATCTTATAGCAGCTTGACTTAAAAATAAAGTGCCATAATTTTTATCCATTAAATCAAATATACAAAGCTCCTTCTTAATTATTACAAATTTTGATTAGCTCTCTGGTCATCAATTTAAATATGCGAAGCACTCTCCGTAACAAAGTCAGTGGTTAAATTGGGCCTTTTGGAAATAAAAACAAAAGTAATTGGCTTAAAGGACAACGTGGAAAAAAAACCAAAATACTGAAGTGTGGGTGCGAAGGACGAACGCGATTTGAAACAAACGAACAGCGAAGAACGTTGTGTCACTAATTCAGGTAATTTGTCACTTTATTTACATTTTAAATGAATGTTATTGTTGCTGGTGGCGGTGGCGATGGCGATGGCGGTGGAACAGTGGCAGTAGCAGTGGCAGTGGAGCCTCGTCCAGGACAGTAAGCAACCAAGAGAAACCCAATTTCCATTTTCGTTTTGGGGGCAAACACAAAGGAAGCGAGTGACTGACGTGCGGGCCGGCAAGCGTTTTGCAGGCCAAAGGACGAAATACAAAACAAACACGGACACAAACCAAGTAAAAAAAACCCTTTTCCAGCTCCACCCTGCAGGTCCTGGATGACTGTCAAAGGAGTGTAAGAAGGAAGCGAAGAGGATTCAGCCACGACCAAGAATGGCGATTAAAATTTGAACGAAATTTGAAGGGAAAGACAGAAGACGTTTTTGCGGTAACCGTCACGTAGGCTGCTTGGTTTTGGGGAGGGGACACGGTGTCCTTAATTTAAATGAAGTGGCAACAGATCAGCTTTTTTTCCCCTGTGGGTATCATTTCTGTACCTTGTAGGCGATTTTTTTCAAGCCCTGTAAACAGAGACTGTGGCAGGAAATGGGCATACAAGTTCCGGTTATATTTACTGAAGGACATTTTTTGGGTAACCTAGTTTTTTTAGAGAGTTTTTAATTAGCCGCCGTTGAACGATCTTCATTTTTAGTCAAGAATAATGAAGACACGAGTGTCCTGAAATTTCTCTGAAAAGAAAATCTAATAAATTGAATTTCATTATTTGATTTAGTAAGAAAATTTAATGAATTTTTTCCAAGGAAAACCTAAAAAAATCATCGAATGTCAATATGGACATTCTTTCAATGAATATTGAATTATTCATCAGTTTAGGATGGGTCCTTTTTGAGCAGCCTAGAGGGTTGGGTAGGGGCAGGGCCAGGGCCGTAGCTAGAGCCTCGGGGGCCCTGGGGCAGCAAGTAAATTTGGGGCCCCCTATACGGAAGTCTTTTGCCCCGGCGGGGCCCTTTCCCTTCGGGGGCCCTGGGGCACCGCCCCACCTGCCCCATGCTAGCTACGGCCCTGGGCAGGGCTCCTCTCAAGTTTTCAATTATTTTGGCGGGAAGAAAAATTTGCAACAGCCGCCCGCAAGTATGCAGCGAAAAAATTCAATCAGCCGAGAAAATGTTCCCGCTGCCACGACAGGGACATCACAGCATGGCATTTATGAGCTGGGCTGCCTCATAAATTCTACTGGCAGCCAACACATCGGTGCCACCTTACTGGCAATGTCACCTTTTGTGGCTCTGTCGAATTCACTGCCGAAACGTGTCTTCTACGGCTTTTCTCTGGCAGGTGGCATGAGGCATGAGGCATGAGACAGGAGGCTTGGGGCATGTTTGGCGTTTGCCGTTTGGCGGGGTGGTGAACAATATTTGTCAAGGCAAAAACAAAGTGCTCTTGCTGCCACAACAATAGCTGAACCACTGAAATGGGGCATAAATATCTGGAGCATGTTTACCCTTCCATACACTTTGGTTATATTTATTTTACAGACCAAGCAGATGATTTTGAAAGTTGAAAACTATTTTCCCTTCCAACCAAATAGTGAGTATCTGATAAGCAAACATTTGCTCTTTTAGTCTTTTTTTTACACATTACAGTTAATTAAAGTTAAACTTTCCGCTTGCCAAAAAAAAAAACCAAAAAACCTTGAGGGTTGAGAGGTGCAGGATACCAGGACCGGCTTCTGCTCCTGCTCCTGGTATGTTACCCTTGGTGTTCACGGTTGTGTAAAGCCCCCCAGAATCGGCGATGACCGCCTGACTGCTTTCCGGTCCTCAACTATTTTTGTGCAATGAAGCGTTGGGCTTTTATAACGCCAACAGTCAGCTAAGAGACTTCATGATGAGCGGCTGCCGGGGTAAAGCATAGTCAGTCATTGAGAGGCTGTAAAAAGCTGCAGGGAAATTCTTAATTTACAAAAAAAAACTGAGAAGAAAAATCGGAAAACGAAGAAAACCCTGCGTAATAAATGAAACGTAAAAGGAAAAGAGAACAGAACTTAAAAACCCCGCCGTAGATACACCGGGTGAGACCAGGATGGACAATCCGCCGGAGTGCTTGAATGCCAAACCCCCCCCTTCAAGTCCTCAGCTCCCCATCACCAAATCCCCCACAAACTGTTTTCAGTTTGGACAGACTTCATCTGGCTTTCCCCCATGGCTACGCAATGGAAGCTTTCTGGTCCACTTGTCTGCTGCTTTGATTCTCACGGTTTTTCATTTGAATGCTCCCATGCCGAGCTACCCAGATGAAGTATGCTCGGCCGCACCTGACCGACCGAACAACACAAAACAAAATCTTTGAGATACTTTTTAGATACGTATATATTTTAATGTGCGCTTTATCAACAGCTTTAGATAGAATAGCTGGAGTTGGCTGCATGGATTGTATTCCGCATATTTTGATAGGGGGAGGATACTCCTTCCAGGAAATTCTGTGGATGTTTGAGTTTTTGACACTTGGGGATGAGGACATTTTTTTTTAAAGATTTTTATGACATTTGTGTTGGGAATGTACAAGTTTTTACAATTGTGTTTTGATGGAGTTCGATTTCAATTTGATATTGTACTTTTTTCAGCTTTTCAAAATATTCTTAGTGCATAGATATTATATATTTTGATTTAAAAGGAGTCATATCATCATACCCCATACCCATCATACTCATTTTTTCAAACATTTTAAAATAAATAATGTCCATCCATAATTATCCACCATCACCAAAGTGTGAAAGCTGTGGGATTTTGTGTAGGTGGGGGTATCTGTCCTAGATTCAAGGCATCATAAATAATTTCACAGGTATATATTTTAAATTAAATATTCATTTGAAGCCTTTGCACCCCGGGTTTAATGGATGGAAGGATCCAAACGAAAGACCTTCCAAAACCGACTCTAATTAAAAACTTGAAGGCGTTAATCCAGTAACACGTGAGACCGAGACCGAGGCAGAGGCCGGGGAGACTTCGTTGTTCTAACGCCTGTCGAGCCATCACAAAAATGACATTTTGCTGGCTAATTACAATTTCAAATTAAATCACAAGTAATTAGCTGAAAGTTAAAGGCAAATATGGTGAACACACACAATGGTTGGGGGTCGGATGGGTTGGGTTGGGGGAGCTCAGGAATTTGACAGTATTTTATGATTTACAAACGCAATGAAAATTTTTCCGCCTAATGGTTTGTTTTTCCCGCCCGATAGGTTCATGGGCTGATGGCCGGGGATGGCTGTGGATGATGGGGGTGTTGGGGGTGGTGTCACGCCCACCGTGTGACACCATCGTTGAAATATTTTCCTCCCAAATGAAAGACATTAACGGCGACAACAGACAACAGTCGAAACGGAATGGAGCGAAGAGAGCCTGCAAAATGGGCAGAGCAGACGACACATTAAAATACATATTTAATGTTGATGTGGGCAAATATGTGTCTGTGTGGGTTTCTTGTCCCGCCCTCCGTCCTTTTGAGCTGGGATGGCAGGAGTACTATACCCTTCATAAGAGTATTCTAATGTTGTTGATAGCTGTTTAATGTAGTGAAGCATTTTCCTCTAGCTTAGCCCCTAAATAGAAAGGGTCTCTAAAAACCAAACTTTAAGAAATCATTTAGGATCCTGTAAAACCTAGAGGGTATCTCTGATTCGTCTCTCACCCCTCATGCTTTCCTTTTTGTCTTTGTTTTGTATTTTGCAGCCTTGTTTATTATTTATATACATATGTGTCTGTCTATATCCGTTTTCTCTTTGACTTTTGACGGCTCCAATCCCTCTTCTCACCACCAGCTCCAACTCCTGCCCAGCCCCAACCCCAACCCCCTACATCAACCTCTGACACAACGTCAGTTAGAAATGTAATCAAAATAATTACTTTTATTGCGACCACACCAAATGCTAATCAACAGGATTTTTCAGGTCTGTATTATGAATTATTGTTATGGTTTTTAATTTCCTAGTTGTCATGAAGGACCAAACGTAAATTAGAAAAAAATAGGACCTCAAACAGTATTTTGGCGCAAGTTTATGTTTCATGTCCACTTGTGCTAAATTTTATATTAATGTCTCTCGAGCTTAATCTTTATTAGAGGTGCAAAAACATCAAAGTTCTCAATGTTTTGAAAAATAAATCGAGTGAAATATTTAATTTGGATTGAGGTTAGAATAGTTTTGGAAAGCTTTATGTCAGAGCAGACTTATGAGAAAAAAACGATTATACCCATTGCTTGAAAGCATCGATAACATCTGCAACACTAGTCTCGATTCCAAATAGTAGGCCTTGTAACAAAATTCTCGGAATAATCTGTTCGGTATCAGTATCAGTGTCAGTACGTTTAGTAATTCTGCCTAAAGCAGTTGAAAATCAAAGTGTTTAATAACCCAGTGCTTTTTTTTTGGAAAATACTTACCTTGCGCTTTGCAATGAACCATCCATTCGGGCCGAACGGTCCCTACTTCAGGCGTCCCTGCCAGCGGGACCGCTTCCCCAGCCTCGTCGACGAGGTGGGCGCTCTGGGTGACAGCCTGGTATCTGGGTTGGGCTGCCTTCCGGACATGGGCGCCCGCTTAAAAAGGGGTCGTGAGAACTCTCGTTCGGCCGAGAAGCGAGCCGCCCAGGCGGCAATGGAAGCAAATGTGCCGCCGGCCAGGCTGTTCCTCCGCTCCACGTCTCGGGGCCTGCGACGAGCCATCGACATCTACATGCCGCGCTTTGAGCCTGAAGAGGAGAGCCTATCCGAGGAAGAGGCCGAGTCGGTGGACAGCATGCACGTTCAACCGCCGTCCCCCTCAGTGGGGGGGAGCGTGGTCAGTGAGGAACCCGCTGAGCCCAACCCGGAGGAGCCTGGCCAGGCAGAGGAGCCACCGTACACTGGATTCTGTCGCCATTGTCGCCATATTGGCAGCTATAACACAGATAGCGATAGACGCGCCATTTTAATGGCTCGTCGCATCTTCCAGAACATAGATCTATTGTAAGTGGACCTCGATCCCCGAACGTCACGATCTCCGCCCCCGCTTATCCCGAATCTTTTGCCAGTAACGACCACGTGCTGCAGCACTTCATCCAGATGGATTTCTACAGAGACTGAAATGCCCAAATGATCACCAGCTTTTAACATCTGCATCCAATTACACTGAACCTACTTTGAGGGGGCGGAATTCTCACAAATCAACGCAGACACATATTTCCAAGTTGTGGCTTTCGGGAGCATTCAAGAAAATGTCAACGATGATGTCGGACGCCAGCAAGAGAAGTAGTTGGACAACTGTTCACATGGTGTAGGTTTCCTGGTCCCAAATTATGTATTTTTGATCGGTATCCGTGGCCACAACTTCATTTGTGCAACAGACTTTTTAAAATTGTTAAAAGATTCGTTGGTACCTTCAAAAACATACATAAAACTATTTCAAGTCTATTATCAGAATATAACAAATTATTTTTTACCTTTAAAATAATTTGTGATTGTATTTTGTAATCAAAGACAGTTAAGGACTGTCTTACGCAGGTTATGTAGGTTTCTTAGTCATTTGTTAGAATCTTAAAGGAAATACAAATCCCTTCCGATTAAATGATCGGAAAGTAAAAGCCCAGAAAAGCAAAAGGTCTCAAAACTTTATAAATTTTTTTTGTTTTTCATTTTCCTGTGAAATGTTTCCCTGTTTACCATACGTTTGCCTTTTCTTTTCGGAGGCACATTTCCTTTGAAATTTATCCTTGTTGTTTTTGGCCTTTTGTTAATTTTTGTTACATTTGGGTAAATTTGTGTTTATATGAATATTGTATATCTGTGTGTATATGAACCCATATTCGTTCAAACATACATACCTTCTGTGGCTAGAAATATTTTGAACTTTTGGAGCCCAACTTTAGGGAAAGCATTTTGTATGTACAAAGCACACCTCCATCGCACACACAAATGTAAAAGGAGGCCAAAACTTTTGTTACCTTTAAACAAATTGTCCCTTTTTTGTGCATTAGTCGGTATGAGTGTGTTTGGATGGGTAAGTTGGTAAGTTTTTGCAGAAAACAACAAAGGGAAGACATTACAAAAACTCGACAGGATATGCGTACTTTGAGCATCTTTTCAGGTATATGCGGAAAGTGTGTTCTGTTTGCCATATTTCCGTTAATATTTTTAGTCCAAACTTGTAATCTAACTCAAAGTTGTTTTTTATTGGCCAAGAAAACGGATTATGTTAACGCAAAAACTTTTGGCCATAATATAATTTATAATACCAACTCGGGGTAGGGGAAAAAATCAATATTTATAAATCCTTTCTCTAAATTATTAACAGCTTTCGTTTTTAAGCAAATGTCTGTAAATGTTGTTCACAAAATAGAAAACCACTGAGCTCATTGATGTTTCGTGGGGAATCTGTTTGGTTTTTGGTTTCAGGATTTTTACGCTTCAACGACTCTTTTAGAGCTATTTTCGTTGAGCTCCCACAAAGGGAAGCTCAGCGATTATTAGAGAGACTCCTACATTGCTGCTAATTTAAAAAGGATACACGCTGCGAGGAGCTATAAGCATTAAGGACAGAGTGGTAAGCGGTTGTGGAGGGACTACATCGTCCTTCCGGATTAAAACTACAATTAAATGCACATAAAACAAAATATCCTGCGGTGCTTTTATGTGTGTGCGCTTGTAATTTAAATCATTTTGAGTAATGGGAGACTGGCACACACGCCACAATGGAGCTGGCTCCAAGAGCTCGCAGCGGGCGGTGGTTTACAACCTTCCTAAAAAATTCAACGGCAAGGACCCCCAAACAGGACCAAGGATGCTGGGCTGAAACAAAGGTTAAGCTGCACGCTCGTAAGGAGTTTCTAACTACCAAATTTTCACAATCTAGCCATCGTTGGCAACAGAGAAGGCAGTATCCTTGCCAGCAGGACCTCTCAGTGTGAATAAGCGTAAATCTGTTTCTTTTTTTCATGGCTTAGTACATAAATGCAACAAATGAAGGCAAAATAAGCCGACCGTTTAAAAATTAACTAAACATTTTATGAATTACTGTCAGATTGCCAAGACTGTCAGATTTTAAGGGAAATCTTTTTTATTTTTAGCCCTTTAGTCCTTTAAGCCTTTAATAGTAAATTAAGAAGAACATTAGAAAGAAACCCCCTAATGTACATGATTGGTCGAAAAGGTCCTGTTCTCTGCGCATTTTCTTTGGCTTTGAGATTATGTTTTTCCTGCAGGTCTAATTAGGGTCATGTGACTCCAGTGCAAACAAGCAGTCCCACCTCCGGTGTGCGGCGATGCATGCTCCTGGAAAATGGTCTCTCATCAAATGCAGCTTCGGATTTTTGCGTCCAGTTTTCCTGGCACCCTTCCCCCAGGAAACCCAAAAAAAAAAGAAAGAAGTCCGAAAAGCTGACGTCTCCCCGGCTCAGATCAACGAACGTATGCTTCACGCACATTTGCCCACAGACGAGGACTCTCCCCCTCGTTTTTGGGCAATTATCATGCGCCCAAATCAGCATGTCAACCACAACCACCACATACTCCTCGTCGGGCTCAGACGCAGACGCCATCAAAGCAAAGTTTTCCCAATGAGAGCCAAACGAAACTTAACAGAAACGAATTACGCACACGAATTGCGCTGGTAAATATAAAAAAAACACAAAAAACGGCAAGGGAATAATGAAATTATGTTTAACCGAAACATATATATCCTAACTAGATGGTTTTCTTTAATTTATTAGGTGTTAAATGATAAAGGAAATCGTACCATGAACTAAAAAGGAAAACAGAAAAGCTTTAGCTTTTGTTGAAAGTTTTGTTATAAAAAAGAAGTCTTTTAGAAACCTACCAGGTCTCAGTTATCCTATGACCCTTACCAATGCTATTTACTTACCTTCAGAATATGCCAAATAAATTCATATACTCCTCCTTATAGAGTATATTGAAAGTCAAAGGAATGGCGAATAAATTATGAACAAAAGCCAAAAGAAAGAAGTACCAGGGAGGGGTTGTTTAGCATCTACTTGTGCGTCTAATTTGTTGGAAAATTAGTTTTTGTGTTTTGTGCCTGTAATTTTCTTACGAACCCCCCAAAACCCAGTCTGAGATGGAGATCTGCACTTGATTTTGATTGAAATAAGCTGAGAAATGGGCAGCGTTCTGAATTTTTTTTGGTTCGGACTTGCGCTTCATAATGTAGGTTTCATGTTAAAAGGACTTTTGATTTCCATTAACAAAAAAAAAAATACCCAAAAATTATTAAACATGGAGTTAAGGTTAAAATTCGTATCTTTTTGCTTTTTTCTGAACCAAGATTTGTTTTTAATTAATCATTTTACAGAGGGCTTATTCTTATTTTAATCGGTTCTTGTCTTTTATTTATTTATTCTTGTTTTTTATTTACAAAATAACAAAAAATAAACTGTATGTATCATCGATAAGCAAGTTGGTCACACGCTTGCATCAATAAAACGACTTGTTATCATGCGATTTTCTGGTGATGAATCGAAAGCAATATATAAATAATGCCCCAGAAAGCGATAATTTATGAGACTCGAGGCACTGTCAGCATGTGGTACTTTGGAATGTTCAGTTCACTCCCTTCCCTCTTTAATTGGCATGTTTTGACACTGAGGAGCTTAAAGTGGGGAGCCCCCATGGCATGCGATCTTGGGATTATCTGATCTTATTCGAATAAGCAGTGTGGGAGTTTTGGTGTCTGAGTAATTACATCGGGGGTCATGTACCATAATCCATGTAATTAAACAATTTTATTATGACTTTATTCAAAGTATCAACTTTTATATTAAATATTAAAACTTTTCTTTTACAATACACATTAAGAATAAACAAAATCCTGAAGTAAGATTATAGCATTAGTTAACCTACCAAAAGTAAGAGTCCATTGCGAGGTCCATAAACACCTTGTCGCAGCGGAATCTTTGCGGTTCACTGCCCAGGATTTCCATCCCTCGGACTTGCCCCTTCAAGTGAGACATCCTATAACTATCGCCATGGGGCATCGGAGCGAAGCGATGGCTCTTCACAACATTCCCCAGCCTTCAATCGCCTATTTCTCGTGCAATTTAATTTGATTAATGAGGCGCAATGGCCAAGATAGCGAAGGTTCGCGGACCAGCCAAAGGAAGCCCTTTAAATCGAAATTTAACTGACCCAGTTCGATGAAAGCCAAAAAATTAGAATGTCGAAGAAATGGTGAAGAATATTTTATACCTTTTTCGACATCTAGAAGTAGAGTCATCATTCAGAGAGTCGGTATTTGGATAGGCACACTTTTAATTAAACATCCTTTGCACTTTGGAGTGGCATCTGCTATTTATAGGAGATCAAAGCAAATCCAATTACTCAACGCTAGCTTGCCATGCACTTTTCAAAAGTTGGCAATGAGCTAGAGAGCCGCATCGAAGGCGGCAGTAGTTCCCCCGGCATCTTTCACATTTCAGATTAATTGCAGGAGCATCTTTATAGTTCGGTGGGTGTGGCAGGAAGTCGAATGGCAGATCGTTCAAATGAAGCTCGGCACCTCGTAGCCTGGCGGAACGAAGCAGCCAAGGTGTTACAACACTTCCAACGAGTCTCTTTCTTCAAATTAGTTCCTTATGTGTATGTTTGATTAAAGAACTGCAGAAAAGGAGGCACTTAAAAAAAAAATCAATATTATCCAAGAGGTTGAGGTTGTTATCTAGAAAGGTAGGTGACGAACTTATGACGAACTACAACTTATGTGAGAAGAAATCCAAATGAAGTACTTTTTAGCACATAAGATGTAAGTATTATAATTTAGATAGTATAGTAAGAATCATATTCACCTTACAGGTAATATAAATTTATGTTTTCAAATACACATTATTGAAGGGCTTAAAAAGGTAGTAGTAAGGAGTAAGGAATGAAGCTTGATGACTATAAAAAAGTGACCGTTTTAAGAATAAACTGTTTTTAATATATATATTCTTACGATTTTTATAAAAAGTAATTCTTTATAGGGAAGTGTTATATTTTTTCCAATTATCATCTCAACAACCCAAATTTTTAAACCAATGTGCAATTCCGGAACGAGTCGCAGAGTTTCTTAAAATTGTGAGTGCAATTTACTCCCCGAGCTGAGTCTCGAAGACAAAGTGGCGGAAGGTGGAACTCTATCAAGATTGCACGAAACTGGCACTGAGCCTCGACTTGATGCGTTTGATTGAGGCCAGGCAGGGTGCGGGGCAACGGGGACCTGTTGAGGCTGCGGTTAATTAATTGCGATCGCCGAGATTTCGTTTACAGGTGGGCGTGACCGGCGTTGTGGATGCAGGTGGCTGCAAATTAGAAATCCCTGAGAGCTGAACCAAAACCACAACCAGTACAGTACTTGGCAGTGCACTTCTCAGGGCTATATGCCCATCGTAGGACACCCACAAAAGTCCT